ATATATATATGTTTAATATATATATATTTAAAATGGATTTACACAATTTGGGGTGATTATGTTCCACCCAAGTGACAGAGACTGACAAAATCCCCTGTGTCAGACATAGGAAACATCCCTTCTAGTTGTGGGTCAGAGGAGTCTAAGAGACTCTCCCTAAATATAGGCTATTGCCTATGCATAGGTTGCCCAGAACTTGAAGGTAAGGCTCTAATACTGAAGATACTAGGACTTGAAGAAATTTAGCTCTAATGCGCCTGTAAATCTCCTCTCTGGGAACTATTTCTCATAGATCTGAAAGTGTTATACAAACTGCCAAAGAAGATGAGGAATCAAAAATTCTACCCAGCTCTAAAGCCTATAAACCAGGAAAATGACCAGGCAGAGAAGGCATCACCAATAGTGTACACTGGGGAAAACAACTGTCTGATTTAACTTCTGCTCAACAGGAGGGAATTCACACTATACTGTGAACCTGGCCAACTACTCATGCTGGGGAGAGCAAGGGTCCTATAGGAGAGCCTATTAGTACCATCTCCCTCCTTCCCTCCCTCCCCTCCCTCGCTCCTTCCCTCCCTCCCCTCCCTCATTCCTTCCCTCCCTCCCCTCCCTGGCTCCTTCCCTCCTTCCTTTTCCCTTTCTTTCCTTTCTTCCTTTCTTCCTTTCTTTCTTCCTTCCTTTCTTTCTTTCTTTCTTTCTTTCTTTCTTTCTTTCTTTCTTTCTTTCCCTCCTCCTCCTCCTCCTTCATTTTTTTCTGAGAGAGGGCTTTTCCACATAACAGTCCTGGCTGTCCTGGAACTTGCTTTGTAGATCAGTCTGGCCTTGAACTCACAGAGATTCGCCTACCTCTTCCTCCTAAACCAGTATAATTCCTAACTACATTCTAAACACTTACATCCACAGATAAGTGTTGCCCTTGCTCCTCATAAAAGAAGCTTCTTTTTGAAGCAAATGGGGACTATTACAGAGACCTACAACTGCTCAAAATGTAGAGAACAACAGACTGTCGTGTGTTCAATCCTAAATGGTACATCTACAACACAACCCCCAGAGTTAAGTCTCGAGAAACATTGGAGAAGAGGCAGCAGAAAATCTGTAAGACCCAGAGGGTCAGGATGTCTGCTATGAGATAGTGTCTTGTATATGACAGGGAAGCTGCACCCATGAAATCTCAACAGTATGGTCACCTCAAAAAACCTGCATAATGACAAAGCCAGGTGACACACCAATGTAGATGGAGAAAAACTCATGAGGCCCCACTTGTAGATGAAGAGCTATGGGTAGTTAATGGCTACTGAGAGAGGGAGAATCAGTCTTCTCCATGGATGAGATTCCTGATAGGTGATCTATTCACAAGTGGTCAGCTCTAAGCATAGAAAGAGCCAAGCAACACCAAGTGAACTCAGCAGGTTGTAGGTGTGCACACACACGAACACACACACACACACACACACACACACACACACACACACACACACCCATACACACACCAATAATTAGTGTTCTTACCGGTTTTCTAAGCTGATCATGCTGTACATTAAGGTATTAACAATGAAAGTTTAGATTGAGTCAGGTGTATCAGTTAGTTTTCCGTTGGCTGTGACAAAATTCCAGGAGGAAAGTGCTTTATTGAGCTGCCATTCTATTCCCTATATTGTTAAGTAAAACAGCAGATTCAGCATTTAACACAAACTCACTTATAGAGCACTGATGCGGCCTAAGAGGACTGATTCCAATCTTGAAAGAAGTTTTGTGGTAAAGTTCACACACCATGGAGAACTGTGTGGAAGAATTCACTGTTGCCTCAATTCCAGAAACTCCAACCTTCATCAACCACTGCTCTGGTCAATCAGCCATCAGTATCATGGAAGGACACCCCACCAGAAGAAATAAACAATTTAGCAAAGGCTCAGGTGATAATAAAGCAAATAAAATATTTTTAAAGTGTATGCATTTTTAAGTAATAACACTCTTGCCCACTCAATAAAGCACAGCATAGTATAAAAAACTTGTCATATATACAGGGAAGCCAAATTGTGTGACATCCTTTATAGTAATATTCACTTTTTACAGTGGTCTGGAATTGAACCACCACATTTCTGACCTATGGGATCATCTTCAGATATTTTAGAAAATCATGAGTTAAAGTTTATTTTTTAATGTTTAAAAAAATCTAAAAATAATGGCTGTCCGAGAGAGGAGTATAATTTAAAGTGTTTTCTAAACTTGTTTTACTTTAAAATCACTCATTTAGAAACATTTCAGGATCAGGTGTTCTCAGGAAATGTGTGTAAGTAACTCTATCCTAAATGGCTGCTCGGCAAACTAAAAGGCAAAGCATGATAACCACCATGAAAATGGTCCAGAGAGAAGACTGATCACTCAAGGCTGGAGGGAATTGGAGGACTGAGTTTTCATGGAGGTATTTGAACTGAGCCTTGACTGAAGAAGAATTTCGATAGACATTTGATATGTGGGAGCTTTTCTTGTTGAGATAGTGGCAGGAGTGAGAACACAGAGCTAGAAAACCACAAATTTTGTTCAGGAAGTGGCAAGTGTTTCCAAATACATCTATGGGGGGCTGGTAAACTCAAGCAAGCCACCAGCTGGTCCCAGAACACACTTGGTCCTAATCTATTCAGAAGGATGCAAGGAAGTAGCGAAAGGCTTTCTGCTTCAGAATCACAACGTTGGGAACAGTCCTCGTAGCAGCTGGCTATACAGTTGTCTAGCAGCATTTTATTTCCTTTCCTTCCCCAAGGGACAGCTTATTTACAAGGGGTAGAAGTTTCAAGGCTAGTGAAGGGGTCTCCCAGGCCTAGAAGCTTTTACTCTGGTGGTATTAATACCTCTTTTTACAATTCTGTATTATCTCTACTGTCCCCCCTAGGGCTTCTACTCAGCTACAGGAGTCTACTGAAGTCTAAATTATGAGGTATATCTAGATTTTATAGTTTGCATCTCATTTACATATGACTTATCAGTGAGAGATCATTTTGACCAGAAGTTTCAGAAGTTTTGCCTATGTAACAAGGTGGACACAATACACTTACTAGTTTTCCAAGAAAAGTGGGCTTAAATGCTAATAAATGGTCAAATTATTATTTGTAAATGGTACCCTAGAAGCCTGCTCCTAAATATAAATTGGCTAAGGAGATTAGGGGCATATTATGTAAGATATTTGATTCTAAACTAAAGAGTTTAGATTTTTAACCATGTCTAACCATTTTGCTTATGATTTCTTTCTCTCTTTTTTTCTTTTGAGACAAGGTCTCACTATATAGCTTTGGCTGTCCTGGAATTCACCCTGTAGACCAGGCTGGCCTTGAACTCACAGAGATCCACCTGCCTCTGCCCCCTGAGTGCTGGGATTAAAGGCATGCACAGTATGCCTGGCTTCACTTGAGATTTCTTATCCAAATAAATATATAATCAAACATATTTTGCTATAAAACATATAAATATTTGTTGGTATATATCTGAATAGAGCCAGTGAGATGTTTAAATATAGAAACATACATGTAGTCATGTGACATTAATCTTCTGAAATAGACAAGAAACTTTTAGCTTTAGAACAGTGGTTCTCAACCTATGCATTTGTAACTCCCCTGGGATGTTGAACCCCTTTCACAGGGGTTGCCTAAGACCATCGAAAACACAGATATTTACATTACAATTAATAACAGTAGCAAAATTACAGTTATGGAGTAGCAGAGAAAATTATTTTATGGCTGGGGTTCACCGCAACATGAGGAACTGTATTAAAGGGTCTGGACATTAGGAAGGCTGAGAACCACTGCTGTAGAAGATTGGGTCTATGCAGCACATCAAAACAATCAATATCAGGTGCTCAATGTAGTGGGGAATCTTTATTTGTTTCTCTTCTGAAAATGCAAAGACAGAATATCTTCTCACACCCTAGCGAAAGGACACAGTTTCTCAAAGTATATTTACACGGAAGAAATCTAAGAGACTCCACACTGTAGTTTTCTGAGGTTATGACCTCTCAATGGGCAGAAGTCAGCAGGTAGAAAAACTTTTATTTTAATTGAAGCAGCCACCAAGTATTATGCATAGTCTTGGCAGTTTATGCAACTGAGGCAGTAAATAACTGTTCAGCGGCTTTCCAGCCTTTGCTCTCCTAGGACTTAATGCATGCGTGAGAACATGATTCACCACCTGAAACCTGGAGTAAGAATCTATGCTTTACGGCTTTACTGCCCGCTCCAGCTCAATCCACACAACCCACTTAAGCCATCCTTCCACGTCACCCAGAGGCTCATGTGTTTGAATAATTGGCTTCCAGCTGGTGGCTCTGCTTTAGGAGTTGTGGATCCTTTGGGTCTGAGACATACCTGGCAGAACTAAATAGCTGGGGGCAGGGACTGAAAGTTACATTTGCCTCTAGTTCCAGTTGGAGCTTTCTGTTTCCTTATTCTCCAACATGTGAACAAGCTACGTTGCTAGCTCCCACTGTCATGGACCAAGCCACTGCAGGTACCATGCCTTTCCTACCCTCTAAGTTGTGAACGAATAACAGACTTTGCCCCCAAGTTGCTTCTTTTAGGCAATGAGATAAGCAACTAATAAAGAGACGTATTGTCTGCTTCCTATGATGACAAGTAGTCAACATGACTGACTGTCAAAATGTGAGTCCAGGGAGAATTGTGGTCCTCAATTCCAGGTAACACGCTCAAGCTAGTAACGTAGCTTAGACATAATGTCAAACCCCTCCCTCTTTCCATTTCCTACATACCCCACATCAACTTGGAGTCACCATTTAACTTTTCTGATGTGTTCACATCATGGCTCTGTAAGTCTCTGTCCACATGAAGTTGTAGCTATGGCAAGGACACAGTCCATACAAGACAAAGAGTATCTTAACCACTTGCTGATGTATTTAAACTAACGCTGCTAAGTCCTTTACTGTGCTAGTCTCAGCACAGAGTCTAGGTTAGGGTGCTTTCATTTTGGCATGAATAGAAACACACAATCAGAAATCCAAGAAAATAAATTTATTGAACTTTGAAGGGAAAAATCCACAGACATAAAAGAAAGTTAAATATAGACTGCAGGACACAACTAGTCATACTGTGAATAATGGCTTGTGTGGCCAGCAAAGTACCAAAAATGACATTCTGGGACTGATTGAGGTATTTAGCTATTTTTGGCTATAGAAACATGGTCAGCCTATGGTGAAATGGTAAGATAGTTCATCAAAACACATGTCTTTAAGCTGAATAGATTCTAAGTTGATGATATTTCATATGAACTAAATCATGTAGCCATTGGAGAAACCATAGCAGCAAAGTAGCAGAAAAATCTATTAAAATCTATTACAAAGTAACACAGTGAACCTTAAACACCAAATGCTAGATTGTCACTGTCTCTCCTTTGTGAAGGAGAATTTAAAACCACTAAACATTAAGCCTATTTCCCCACAGATGTCTGAGCAAAATGGTAAATACCATTAAAACTTTAAAGTTTCAAGCTTTTAAAAAAATACTTAAAATGAGAAGTATTCTTCAGTGGGCTGAGAGTCCTCTTTCTCTCATACATCTTTTTAGGGGGCTAACGCAAAGAACTATGTGTATGTTATTTGGGAATCAAAAAGCGATTTTTATATTGGGTGTTTTTCTGCCTGTCTGAGACTAATCTTCCTAGGGGTAAATAAGAAGTGATGAATCTCTTCTTACTATTTAAAATATATCTTATGAGAGGTTTGATGACAAAACTTCTGCTATTTGTGTAAATACTGAGTTGTCCTTTGTGACTGGAAACTCATTTATTCTGTCCCTTTTTGCCATGAATTAGAAGTATGTGCCTGGCTGTGAAACAAAGATCTAGGCCTTTAACTTTCTATTCTGTTACCTGGTTAACTTTATCCAGTGTGCTTCAACAGGTGAGTTTCTCTCTGTATGTATTAATTCTTAGGTGACTATAGAAACCAAGTTGTGTTTGAAGAGACAGTCCTGCATGGGTGTGGGAGTCTCCCTCTCCCAATCCCCGGGCTCCCCAAACCCCTCTCCATGTGTTTTGACAGCTCCTCCACATCCTAGCCAGTAACACCACCATCACTTCTACTTCTCTTAGAGTGTAGCCCTGTGGCTTGAACTTAAATTTGGTGAAGAAAGGGTTTCTTTTGTTAATATCATGTCTGTTATTGTTTGGTGTGTGGTATGTTGATCTGTATAAAAATTGTTAAATTTTATAAATTAAAAATATTTATTTAAACCTTTAAAATGACTTTGTTCCAATAATGCAGGTTATTAGACATTGTAGAGTTATGAAATTTGAGGAGTTATAAAAAGGGCTTTGTAAAAAAATCTAACTTGTTGGCTTTCTTTAGGTTCATTGACCAAAGCATTAAACCCTCTTTACACTGTAGTTGCTACATCCTTGGATGGATCATTGTGAACTACAATGCGTGTGTAGTATATTATAAAACAGCCATGCTTAAAGTGTAAATTACTAAAAATATCTTTATCAATTTTATGTCAAAATAAATGTTTTACATATCCAAACTAGCCTTACTTTCTCGCCTAGAATTTTAGTTCCCAGTTATTTAAAAGAGAAAAAGAAATTAGCCTGTGCTATAATAATCTGCATTCAATTTCCTGAACTGCAAAAGCTACCTGATTGTTTTGCTTTTCCAAAAAGCATGATTTACATACATGAAAAACAGCTATTTAATGCTTAGTATCACAAAATTAAGACCCACAATACAGACAATCACTGCCACTAAGCAGTCTTAGAGACGATTCTTCAAAAATATTTATAATTCACAATGGGAATCTATCTGGTTAAGCATTCTTGATTTTCTGCTTTATGATAATGTTTCAACATTTCCGGAAAAGGTATTTTAGAATCCACACTCACCCTCACACTCTCCCAACACAGATTTTAAACATGGTTTTGGTTTAGGCATTCATGCCCAGCCTTTTCTTTGCCATTGAAATATATGAAAGGCTACTGCATGATTTTGTTCAGTTGGTCTGTGCTCACGTAGCCACACGAGGAGAGGAACTTCTTTTTGTCAGGCAAACGCAAAGCAGTTGCGTTGAGTATAAGGCCCCGTGGAGACTGCACAGTGTGGACGGTGGTGTAGTCTGGGACAGGCATCTCAGCATCCGGAGCAAGCTCTGTTGTCTCGGACTTCCGGGCAGTAGTAAGGCTTTCTGTGGTGATGTAAATGTCCTCCTGGTTAAAGCTTGGTTTTACACACGATGTGGCCTCCAAGTGAGGGGCCACAGCGATGCACTTTTTGGCATCTGACTCACAGAAGTAGGCACTGTTCATGCTGTTATTTTCTTGGCAGGGTGCAGCCACCTCCGGCTGTGGCTGTGTGTTGCACTGGGCTAGCCCTGCCTTAATCTTTTGGCCTGGGGAAAGGACTACACTGCCTGCTGGTGTAATGTCGCTTACTTGGGCATAAAAGTCGATGTTTGCCAGCGAAGCGGGACTGCTTATCTGTGTAGAGACAGGTTGGTGGGTTGACTCAATTTCACTACTCGGAAGCGGCTGTGGTTTATCTTCCGCCGTTAGGGCAATGCAGGGGTGCAGAGAGCCGAGGGAAGCACCATAAGGCGAATTCTTTAGATTCTTCTGGTCAAGGCACAAGAGATCGGGTTCCTCTTTTAACTTCTGTGGCTGAGCAAACTCTGAGGTACCATCACACATGTCACTGGTGTGGAAGTCGGTGTCCAAAATGTCAGGGTCATAGCAGCTGGTACGTCCAGAATCATCATCCTTGGCTCCAAGGATACTGAGCGATTTCTCACGGGCATTGCTTAGAAGTCTGTCTGTGTCTGACCCTTCAGTCTTTTCATCTGCATCATCAATATCTAGCTCAATAAACTCAACCCAGGAGTCATCATTGTAGAAGTCAGATTTGTAGTTATCATGAATGCCTAAGATGGTGTTCACCTCCTCCAATTTTCCTTCCTAGAAGCAGATAGAAAGTGGAGATCTATGAAAAGCAACTCCAAACGATTAAATAATTTTCAATAGGGTGCATTGAGCTTGCAAAACCAAAACCAAAAACAACAACCAACCAAATAAAAATCCCAAACCCTCTCAACAGAGGATAGTATTCTTTAGGTATTACTCAATTGAATGATCTACAACTTAAGAGTTAATTACCTTGAGAAGATCTGGATCAATTCCTTTAATCTTTGGAACAGGGACTGGGGGCAAAATCAGCATCTTAATCCTTGAAAACAAATAAGGTTTTATTTTTACATATCTTAAAGATTACATGTTGTCTTATTTCAAAAGGTAGAAATAAAATAGAGGCAATACCATGACTTCTTCTAAGCATTCTTATAACGTATAGAAGTTATATGAGAATATAAGAAAGAGAGGGAAGGTACTGAACAGCAGATGACAAAAGTTTCAGGAGAAAAATATCACAAAAAGCCTTCATTTAAAATAATTTCAATAGATGTGGTTTCTTCTAATTTTTTTTTTTTTTTTTTTTTTTTTTTTGCTTAGTGCTTTTGATGTATAGCCAATTTCAATATTTGTCTGTGAGGAGTCTAACTTTGTCTAAAGTCAACTTCCAAGTGACTTATAAATAAGACACCTTTAAAAGCATATGACACCAAGAAGATATGGAACAAAGATTTCAATTTCTCTCTCTATTCCTATATAGGTAGGAAATGAAAGTAGACAGGGGACCCTGAGAGATGAGGAAGAGGTCTGGAGGAATGCAGAGTATGGGGAAGAAAATGTGATAAATATGCAGAAAACAGAAGGGAGGTCTGGTTGGGAGGAAGGAGAGGCCAGAAAGAAGGAGAGGAGATTGGTGGGGGAGGGGATGGGAGGGAAAAAGAAAACATGATGATGTCTATGCATGGAAACATCACAGTGAGACCCATTGCTTTGTCTCCTGATCCCACCAAAAGTAGTAAGAAAACAAAAGAACCTTTGAATAGAGGCGATGACTGAGTACCACTGGTATAATGTTTACTTAGCATGCCAGAGCCTTGGGTTGAATTCTTAAAACCACACAAAACCAAGAATGGTGGAGGCAGGAGAATCAGAAGTTTAAAATCAATCGGTCTGGACAAACAAAGTAAAACACACACACACACACACACACACACACACACACACCTTTTAAATCCTATTTATTGAGAGCATGATATTTCATTTGATATGTTTTTAAAGCTAGTATAATTAGACAACCTCACATATTTTCTTGGCTTTCATGACATGATATGGACAACTAGTGTTAAGGGTGAATGGTTTTATGTACATAGCAATTTTATTTACTACCACTCCATATAAATTTTGGAATTTCACTAGCTCTATAGACTAATTATCACAAATCCATTGATTAGACTCTTTTGGCATTACTCAAGTTCATACCTTACTTAAAATTCTGAAGATATATTTATTTTTTCAAACAACTGAAAACCCTGTCGTTTCAATTGTAGTAGATGTTTTCACAAAACAGAAATGTGGCCTAAAAAATAAGCTAAGTTCAAAACAAAATTATGCAGTGAGTTTTGCTTTCCCCATCATTTACATGATAAAATTGAACATGAAACTGAAAATGGAGTTCATTCAGTTGTAGTTTTTCAGTATTCTTAGCACTCAAGAATACTGGCATTGCCTGAATTATTTCTAGTTAAATTCTATTTTGAGTATGGCTAACTTTGAGGTTGGAGAATTTTGGATTGCTACAACAACTAAAAGCCCATACCATATATGCCTATATTCCATTTTGAGTCACTGATACCTCTAGACTTCAGCTGAAGAACTTGATTTCAATTTTACATAGAGCAACTGACTATTGATGGCCCCAAACTGAGGGGATTCCAGAACAGGACTTGCAGTGCAAAGACCAAGCGATTCTTGAGAATCTTAAAAATGGTAGTCACATTTGTCCTAGAAAGAGGCTCATGACCTCATGGGATTCTGAAAATAACTTAAATGTAAACAAAGGACAAACAATATCACTATTTTTCCTGCATGTTGCATAAACATTTTCTGCAATCTATGTTTCTCCAAGTGGAAAATGATATTTTATTGTTCAAAAAGATTTAAAAGACAATGTTGCACACAAAAATGTGGACTTTCAGAGAGGGTAAGAGGTACAAACAAGTTCAAACAGCAGTGGTTGAATAGCTGCATTCAACTCTCTGGACTCCAAGAAATTGTACAATAGAATTTCTTAAAACTTGGAAGGAATTTGGATTGAATTTACAAATGTAAGTAAAATATGGATGGCCAAATAGTTTACCTGGAACCCAAATTTATTTGAAATCAACACCTTATGAATAAACTTGAAAGTGTCTTAGAATGAAGTGTTCAGGTGGCTTCAATTTGTTATTTAAATTAGATGGTACACGATGATGGCAACAGATTCTGCCAAAGCTCCGGGGATACTGTGGGGTTCTGATGTGAAGGGGAGACTTGTTGAGTCCCTTTGGGGAGTTCTTCACATAAGAAAGTACTGTCAACATACACACAGGTACTAGTGTAAACGTCTTCATGTGCTACATAAGACTTCCCGATCTAAACTGCCCATTTTCTAAGGTTAACATTACAGACTGAGTATTGATGTGGTAAAGGCAAAACCAGAAATAGTATTCTGAGTTCATTAAAATTTCCACTCCTATAGTACAAAAGAAATTTTCCCACAACACGGGGGAGTACACATAGAGATCACAACTTGCAAAAACATATCAAGGACAGTGTTTTACACCTACCTTTGCTGTTTTGAAAAAATCACTACAAATAACATCACCGCTACTCCAAATATTCCAAAGATAATAATTAAGAACCATGGAAACTGGAAATCTAAAACAGGAAAGAATATTTCACCAACAGAATTATGAATAATTAAAGCAAAATTTACATTGCACTGTCCTTTCCCACATGAAAATATTTGTTAATTTGAATTCATATGGCAAAGTTAGTGTTTCACTTGATAACCATGGTAACAAAATGGAATGACTTTGGTTTTTTTTTTCTTTCCTAAGGATACAACATGCTTGTCCACTGTAAATATGTATGTGTGTAAAAACAGTTAAAGAAAAAGAGGCTTCTGGGCATGGTGGCACACACCTTTAATCCTGGCACATGAGAGTCAGAGGCAGATGGATCTCTGTGAGTTCAAGGCCAGCCTGGTCTATAGAGTGAGATCCAGGAAAGCCAGACCTACACAGAGAAACGCTGTCTTGAAACCAACAACAACAAAAGAAAAGGAAGTGGGTAATTTGAGAGAAACTGAGGTAGTGGTGATAGTGGTGGTGAATGGGAGGGTTGGAGTGAGGAAAAGGGAGGGGGAATGATGTAATTATATTGCAACTAAAAAGTACATTATTAGAAAAAAGGAAAAAAAGTTCAAAAGCAAAATCACATTTCAAACAGGTTGCAAAAAAGCTAAACCTGTAAGCTTCTCATATGTCTCAATGTCTGAGGAGTATCACTACGGCTTCAGTGCCAAGAAGAAACTGTTGCTTGTTAAACTTAAGTAAATAATGCCCATTTGATATTTTAAACTGTAATGATTTTTTTTAGCTTCTACATTGAGGCTATATCAAAATTATGAGGGCAGAGTAACTGTGACATACTTAGGCACACAGAACACATTGTTATAGCTTTAAAACTATGTGTTTATGTACATTGTACTGAGGCTGTTCAGATATCAGTACACTTTATGAGCACTGGGAGAATTTGTCTGTGAAACCTCCACCTCTTTCCTTATTACTAAATGCCCCTCCCCCAAGTTCTTCGAGGTTGGTTCCCCATATTCTCCCACAAAGGCAGGAGTTAACTACAATTAGAAATCCAGAGTCATCTCTGGGGTTTCCTGTGTAGGATCTCCAAATGCTTCATGTGTCCCATGAATATGACTAACCCATGGCTCACTAGGTTTTCTCTAGGTTTACACCACATCTGCACTTCCCCAAATCCACGAGCACCACCATTTCATCCCAAACTCTAGATAACCTTGTTTCTTCCAGATACAAATGCAAAACAAACACTTTGTAGAAAAATTTGGAAATACAGATGCAAATAAATAAACAAAGGCAAAAATCCACTCCCTTAGAATCTTACTGTTCGGGAACAAGCACTGTGTTCCTCTATCTGAGTTTCTACCTGCCCCGGGACTTTTCCTAAAGCAAATAATTTGGAAACGAAATCCTTTTGTTATTTCTTTAAAATTTATTTTATTATTTTTTAATTATGAGTATGTGTGCATGTGAGGGCAGGTGCTAGCAAGGGCTAGAGATGGCAGATCTTCTGGAGCGGATGTTACAGGTGGTTGTCAATCTCTTGATGTGGGTTCTGGGAATTGAACTTGGGTCCTGTGGAAGAACAGGAAGTGCTCTTAACCACTGAGCCATCTCTCCAGTCCCTCCTTTTGTTTTTTGTTTGTTTGTTTGTTTTTTTCCAGTGCATACATTTTCTACAGATAGTAGTGACTTCAGTGTCTTGCCCCTGATATATGAAACTGGGGTATATTGACATAGACAATATACCAACAGTGTAGGCATATGTTAGCTGCTGGATTGCCAAAAGTCATGCTAGCTGCAAGTTAACCACCCTGCCCACACTTTACCTTCTTCGCATGTCAATGCACTCATCTGAGGAAATGTTATGTAGAGCACCTCGCTGAAGTCGCTGAACTTTTCAAAGTTCCGTTGTCTGGATCTCACACGCACTTCATATTCTTTTTCCAGTCTCAACGAGTACAGTGGGACTGATGTTGACCATAAAGGACCCGTCTTGCAAAACAAAAATATGAGAACGTATGGCCTCAGGTATCAACAACTCAACTCACAAATTCTTCAAGTATTTTCCCCTTTCTCTTCACACAGGGTTTCTAGAAATTGAGTAGTATTTTAACTTGTCCATAGGGAATTGGCTATTAAATGAAATACACTGAGACAAATTATGTAAAGAATAATTTTGTTAAAATGATAATAATAATAATCCTCAAATTTCTTTTAGTATAAACCCAAAGATATACATTTGCTTAAAGAAATATAGCTATAAAGGTTGAGTCAGGTGAAGAATAGAAGAAAGGGTATGTGATAGGGAGGGTTTTAGTTGTGGGGTGGTAGGGGGAGGACAGGAGGGAGAAGGGAACTGGGACTCTCATGTAAAACAATCTTGTTTCTAATTCAAATAAAAAATGATAAAAAAGAAATATAACTATGTCTTTGCTTTAGGTCATTAGGTCATTAGTCAATTAAGACTTAAGCATGGCAGAGCTATACAGAGGAGTACAAATATGTTATCTACTTATCTGGGGCATTACAGTTTTGTATGGAGCAATATATTAGAAAAGGGAACCCCACATTTCCACACCAAAGCAAATTATGGCCACAAGCGAATTATATATCTGTAGAATATGTATTTTCTGGAAAGCCTGACTAGTCATTTATTAATAATCACGGGATTTGAAATAGTCCTAGAAATACTATAGTTGCCTTGAAATGTCAAATAATTTTGTTGGGAGCATCTACACACTTTATTTATGCCAGAAGTCTTAAGCCTACCCCAGGATAGTCTGTTGCTCAAAAATCTGCATAGAAAGGTATTGTGTAGCTATTTTCTCCAAATGGAAACATTATCTCCTGGGAAGAGGGTCTTCAGACTTAGGAAGTAAGCAAAACTCAGAAGGCTGGGAGTTCATGAAACCTAGATGACTCACAAGGCCCTTCTACAAGGGTTATTTGCACAGTAATTATTGCTAGGTAGAGGCAACTGTCCAATCACCTTAGCCTCCTGCAAGCTGTGCAGGCAACAGCCGGGACACAGCATTCATCATCTATGTGGTTGGGGGATACCCTGTGAGTGTAGCTGCGTTGGAGTCATATATACTCCTGTAGGTATATGCATTCAGTGAATTCACTGGTATGGTAAGTTGGGATTAGGTGGAACAGTTTTAGGGATCTGTCGTCATTGGTACCCTATCTAGAGGAACAGATGTTTAGTCACATCTTCCCCCGAAAATGCATATAAGAGAAAGTCACTGCAGACCTTGGGCGTCGAGCATCAGCGTTTCACAGTTTTGAAAGTTAGTGTGACTAGAGTCTTAGCCTATTAGACACTGCTTTCAGATCAGCAGACCCAAGATCCACATTAACACAGCGTTCTCCTCTAAGTCACACCTTTGTAGCTGGCAGTGTTCAACATGCTTTTTTGTTCCTGTTTATAGAAAACACTCAATGCTGCCCCTTTCCAGAAGCATGGATTTTCACATGAGTAAACCCTGTAATTTGTTTTATTAAGTCAGAAGCTGTGACTTCAGCATCTTAAGCAACTTTGTCTTTTACCCCAGTTGGTTTCTATTCACAAAGCTCTGTTTTCTCTATGTGTACATGACAGGGGTGCGTCTTCTTACAGGAGCTGCTGAATATAGGCAGGTTTTTTTTAATTTTAATTTAAATTTAATTTAATTATTTTTGAGACAGGGGTCTCTGTGTAACAGCCCTGGCTGTCCTGGAACTAGCTCTGTAGACCATGTTGGCCTTGAACTCACAGAGATCCGCTTGCCTCTGCCTCCTGAGTGCTAGAATTAAAGATGTACACCACACAGCTGTATGCAGTATTTGTATGCTGAAAATGCTTTTTTTAAAGCAGGACTCTGAATTTTAAACTTTCTTGTTTTTTTTTTTTGTTTTGTTTGTTTTTTATAAAGTAGTTTTGAATACTTGTGTTTCATGCTTGGATCAAAGCCTGGTTTCTCTGCTATTGTCACCAGTATTATTCATAGATTTCACTACCAACTGTAAATAACCACATAGCAAAACCCAGAGATAAACATACCACCCTCCCACCTCTGCCTTTCTTCAACACTTCATACCTGCAGCTCCAAACTGAAATCTTTTCATTTGACTCCCACTGTACCTACCCTGGCAGTGGCCTGAGTGGGGACATCTTGTCTTTCTCCTGTCTCCAGTGAGAGCTTTGTACACCACAGACACTGCCAATCCACCAGCACTACCAGTCTGTGATGTAATACACTTCCTAGATTGCTTAGATTTTACTGCTCAAACTTAATTGTGTATATCTTTCTACACTATATTACAGTTTTCTGAGGGAACTTTCAGCTGCATCAAATAAGGAACACAAATTATACCTCTAGGAACTAGAAAAAGTATAAACTAATCCCAAAGGTAGCAAAAGGAAGCAGATGCCAAGTGTAAGAGCAGAAACAGGCAAAGTTGAGACAAGAAAAATATTGGAAACGATTGATATAAAAAAGTTTCCTTTAAATATTTTATTTGGCCTTTAATGGCTGAGCATTGACTAATAAAAATGAGAAAAAATTCTATTTACTATTCATAAATGCCTGTAATGTTTTGATTAAACCTACTTCCCCTTCTTTCCCTATCCTCCACCACTTTCCCTCCCAACTTAGAGTGATCTCTCTCTCTCTCTCTCTCTCTCTCTCTCTCTCTCTCTCTCTCTCAATACTCAGTCTATTTACTGTTTCTATGTGCATCGGTATGGGACCACCTGCTGGAGCATGATTAGCCTCTCAGACCTTCCATTCCTGAAGAAAACGGACTGTCCCTCTCCCAGCAGTCATAGTGGCCAAGAGCTTCTCAGGCAGGGGTGGGAACCTCTCCACCATCCACAGTGGGATTTTGGCTGGCATGATCTCGTCTAAGCCTTTTGCTGCATGCAGTCCCAGCTGCTATGAGCTCACGTGTGCAACGGCATTGTCATGACCAGGGAATAGTTTCCTTAGAGACATCTACTCCATTAGACTCTTCTAATATTTCTTCTCCTTCTTCCTCAATAATCTTTGAATCTTGGGAGGAGAGGGTAGGATACTGATGTTCTATTCAGAGCTGAGTGCTCTGCTGCCTCTTATCCTCTGCATGTTGACTGTGGTTCTCTGTATTAATCACCATCTATTGAAAAAAGAAGCCTCTCTGATGAAGGTCAAGAGCTGTATTAATCTATGAGTTGAATGATAATAACTAGGGGGGGCAGTTAATTGCTATGTCCATTTAGAAGCATAATGGTACTAGGTTCTCTTCGAGGGCTCATAACCTAGCCAGCTGTGTTATTTTGGCTCAGCAAATGATGTCAGGCATGGGTTCTACCTTGTGCAGAAGGCTTTGATTCTAACCAGAAAGCAGTTATTCCCATAACATTCCCACTCCTATCGGTGGGCCTATCTTTCCAGGCAAGTAACTCTAAGCATTCACAAAAGGCTGAGACTGTTGATGACAAAATTTTCTAATTTGTTCATAGAAATGAAAATTAGTACAGTGACTATTGAAAAGAGTATAGAGGTCACTCAAATAATTAAAAACAGAATTGCCATATAATCTAGTGATTTCACTAATGGTTTTATATTCAAAGTAAAATTAGTATGTTGAAGATATACCTGTTTATGATAATGGTAGCATCACTCACAATAGACAAAATATGGATCAACCTGAGCCCATTGATGGATAAAAGGGTGAGAAAATGGGATATATAGGGAATAAAAAAAACTATGATCCTTAATGAATCATTTTTTCTCAATATGGATGATGCTGGAATACTTCAGATAAAATATGACAGTTACAGAAAGATAAATTCTACATGATCTTATTTATATGTGGAATCAGCAAAGGTGAGCTCAGAAGTAGATCACCTTTGTGATCACCAGGGCCTAGGGGTTTAGAGGTTTGGTGAGATGTTAGTGAAAAAAAATTCAGTTAGATTAAAGGAATGTGTTGAAGGGAGACATTGAACAGCTTAAAGCAGCAGTTCTCAACCTGTGGGTAGCAACCTCTTTGGGGGGTCAAATGACTCTTTCACGGGAGTCAGCTAAGACTACTAGAAAACACAGATATTTACATTATGATTCATAATAGTAGCAAAATTACAGTTATGAATTAGCAACAGAAAAGACATTATGGTTGGGGGTCACCATAGCACAAGGAACTGTATTACAGGGTTACAGTATTCAGAAGGTTGAGAACCACTGCCTTAAATACTAAAGTTAACAACTATGAATTGTACTGATGTACAAAAGAGAGCAGAGTTTAAACTGTCAGTTCAAAAAAATCTATGAAAGAATGTATGCATTAATTGCTCAACTGAATCATCATACCATGTGTATTTCAAAACATCTTTGACATGATAATAAATAAATAAATAAATAAATAAATAAATAATTGTACAATTATTCTCAGAATATTTGAAAAACATTTTATCTAGTGTATTGGTTCACTGAAAATTACACTTTGGAAGTTCTCACAGACTTTATTATAAAACATAAACCCACCATTTTTGCTAATATCACCATGGACCTTTTTGGAGTTAGTCTTATGTTGGAAGGCTATCAAACTCATGGTTATAGATACACATTTTGAAAAATTCTACATTTCTCCTAAAAGTTAAAATTTATCATTGGTGCAAATATTGTCATATGTTTACTGGAAGTGTAAACCTCTTTCTTGACAAATGTTTGGCCAGTCAAATATGAGTCATTATCTACTAGTATATCTGTTGTTCATGTAAAATTTGTTTCATGTAAAAGAGCTGTTAGTTCAGTTGTTGAGTCAGTCATTTAAGTGTTTTGCTCCATCATTACTTTTGAATAAAGTAATTATGGCTCTTCATGAGCCACACAGATGCTTAGACAGTGATGGACTCAATGGTTGAGATTTAAACAGTCTCCTATGAAGCCATTCCCATCCTTTTCTGTGAACTGCACAATGATGAAGACTATAGTGACTGTTAGTAAACAATGGGACTGCTGCCTCAACTCAAGTCAAGAGCCAGCAGTTTCCTTACTACTGCTTTCTTTTTTTAATTCTGGAATGAAAATGTTATTATACTATACTGTGAAATTAGCATTGACCTTGTATGTCCCCTTGAAACGTCTCAAGAGCTCTCAGAGGTATATGATACTCATTTTGAAAACTGCTACCTCAGGTGCCCTTGGTACCTTATGCAAAGTAGTTGTTCCTATACCTGGTTGTTGAATAAATGTTTGATTATGACTCAGATTTAGAAAGTCTTGTTTGACTTAGCATCTAACCAGCCCCTCTTGGTACCAACTTACAAACCAGGTATCTATATTAAAATGATTTAGAAAACAGAACCTGGAAGACAAGTAACTGCAGCAGCTCAAGTTGTATTCTCTGCTAATGACAAAATTGGCTTCTTTTTTGGTGTTGCACTGAAGGACAGGGCCTTGTGTCCCAAAATTTAGGGAGTGAGCCCAGCCAGAGTGCTGGGTACAACCTCCTGCCTATCCAGAAATTGCTTGGCTTGGCCAGGGCTGTGGTTGTGGTTAGACTGATTTAGAATTAGTTATATTTGGAATGGCATGGTAATCCTGTTTCCCTTCTTGTTGTGTGCCGTGTGGAATTTATCTCAGTGACGAGTTCCCAGGCTCTTGGCAGGGAAGTGAGAAGTTCAGGGGCCAACTTGCTTTTGCTTGCCTATGTCGGTTCCTCTTAGCTTAATTTTTCTGAGGCATGTAACCTCTATGGGGTAAATCCCTTCTCTATGCCTCTCTTCTGGAGAGAACTAAGAACAGATATTAATAGAGGTCTAAAGAGTATCAGTAGCTATAATCATGGGCGGACATTTGGCCATAGCCTACTATTGACCTTGATCATGATCCTACTTCTGTTCAGCAAAACCTCTAAAGATAGCAACACGGCTAGTCTGTGACCTTGCTCTATGGTTAAACTGAACACCGAAGAAGCTAGAGAAATGATTTTCTTCTCCCAATAGTTTTCCATATATCTACATGGAAGATGCATATCAGCATTTCCTGCTACATAGACTTTAAAGATATTAATTTAATGATTATATCAGTTTTCTCTAATAATGAGTTGCAGGGCACACAGATTGGCATGTGGTATTAAGTGGAGGAAAAATATCACAAATAAGAAAGTGATTGTTGAATTGGGAAGAAGAAATGTCAAAGTGTAGGATGTGGTGACTCTTACCACTTTCCACTTAGTTTCATTTATTTCTTTGAACTGAACTTCATACTCCAGAATTATCCATCCCTTCCGAATATCTGCGCTGGGTGGTGGTTGCCATCTCACTTGGATGTCTCCATGAATCCCCGTCAAACTGATGTTTAGTAAAGTCCAGTTGAGGCCAATGGGTGGATCAGGTTGCACTGTGAATTCAATGGAGAGTCAGTCCCCATATAAACACTCTTAATATTAATGGCTTGATTTCTTCAGAGATCAAATTCATTCATTCATTTCGACCATACCCTTAATTCTTCCAGAAATCCACATGGTTACTTTATAATACAGTAACATTTTTAATATAGAAATGATCTGTTTCATTTTTGAAAATTTATAAAAGTGTCCCCCAACCCCCTTTTGTGTCTCAATTTTTGATCTATAACTTTCATTGGAAGAATTGCCAGGCTACATACTTGTTTTAGTTCTAATATTATTAATATTTTAGGATTTTGACAAAGAAAATGAAGAGGTAGAGAATCAGAAAGACTGCATTTTTAAAATATGGCCTGCTTTGGAACAGGAAGTAGAGGATTCTTTTCCTTTCTGGGGAAAGGATCTTACCTTATGCATCTCTATGCGGCTGCAGTCTCCTGAGTGAGTGCTCTGCAAATGTTTCCTAGATTTGCCACCTTCCTAGCAATCATATTTTGTCTCTTAGTCACAAGAAAGAAGGCATAATACTGCTAGCTTGAGTTGGTGAAAACCTGGTGTTCTGTCTTTGCTTATGTTAAGTGAGCATTTTGAAATTGTATTTTGTTCAGTTGCTTCTGGTAATTCTCTAGTATATTCTTAGATAAACCTCTGTATTTTTATTATAAGGACCATAAAGACTAGAGTTTCATAAACTAGGATGATGAAGACAATTATGAGTTCCAAAGTTAGGGTTTATATGTAAATTTATGCTTTGTCCTAGATAGGGCGTATTACCAAGCCTTTCTAAATTATTTGAAGATGCACAGTTAATGTTTCCTTTATTTCTTAACATATGCACATAGCTTCTTAGAAAGTTTGGATCCCCAGAATTAGTCAGAGATAAGCCTGTAGATACATGTGATGGAGAGCTCTTACTGAGTCAAAGAGAGAAACTTTTGCATTGACCCAGAGTGGACACACACATATAATGGAAGGGCATGCTGTGTCACACAGAATCCAGGTACTTTTGGAAATAAGAAAGTAATTAGATATACACATGAATACATTTAGAAATTAGATTTGAAGGCTATTCAAACTACATATGCTTATACAGTGACAGTAATACTTTGTCCTGGATTTGTTAGGAATTGAGAAATAACCACAAACTTAACTCTTTAAAGTGATTAATTTTAAATATGTATTTGCATTTTTAATTGTTTTGAAAGAATACAAAGTAATACATTAATTATGGCATTTTCATATTTATGTGTCAATATACATTGTTTTTATTCATCTCCCTCTTTCACTGCATCTCTTCACTCCCCAAGCCTTCCAGTTGCTAGTCCCCTCCCTCCATGAACATAGTCCCCACTTTTGCTTTTATTTTCACTGCCTTCTTTTTCTCCTCTTCCCACAAGATACCTTCATGTTCTCTCATGATCCCCTTTCTAGCTCCATGAAAATCTCTTTCCTCATACTTTTATTTTTACATCTATGAGTGTTTTATCTGCATGTATATATATGTACCACATGCCTGAGATCTTGCAAAAGTTTGGACATTAGAAGCCCCCCTCAAATGGAGTTAGGCATCAGAAAGTGCTCTAAGTAGCTAGTCCACCTCTCCAGTTCATATCTGTCTTCTATATCAGTGGTTCTCAGCCTTCCTAATGCTGTGACCCTTTAATACAGTTATTCACATTGTGTGACCCCCAACCACAAAATTATTTTCATTGCTACTTTATAACTGTAATGTTGCTACTGTTATGAATTATAATGCAAATATTTTCAAAGATAGAGATTTGCCAAAGGGGTTCGATCCACAGCTTGAGAACGACTGATCTATATGCACAATATATATGTTGTTTGAGGAAGGATTTCATTATGTAGCTCACTCTGGCCTCAAACTGATGATCCTTCTGATTCAATCTTCTCAGTACTGGGGTTACAGGTAAGTCACCATACTATCTTATTTTACCTTAATGCTATCATTTAGCAGTCCTGAGCCTCAGTTGCATTATCTGTAAAACAGGGGTTCATAATAGAACCTATCTCTTTTGATGGTTATATAAGACATAAGTTCTTTGGGTTAGTCATGTCCTTATTTAAACACATAGAAATGTTACTTTTAGCAGTAAGATCCAACCCATTTTTTTTTTTTTTGTGAGACACACAAGACCAACGATGAATTTTCAAGGGGCTGTTAGGCCTAGGCAATTGCTGTTGAGTTCTTGACCATTCTTTTCTTTTGTCACCATTAGAACTGAGTAGTTTCTGGAAGGCCTGTGACACTTGGTGACTCTCATTCATACTTTATAACTGAATTGTCACAGTTTGATTCAGCTGGCTCTTCTTCATCCTATAGGCATACCAGGTCATTCATGCATTTGATCACCTACCTTGATTTTTATGCATCCAAACACCTCAAGTCCAGGACCTGCCATACTGTGTTGTGGTACACTGTACTGCAATTATTTTTGAACTTCCCTATTCCACTACTTGACTGTATCATATAGTATAGTCCACATGCATGCTGGAGCTCAGTGAGAGTCAGCTAGGTAAACGAGTAAGGCTTGCTATTGTCAGAGACCGGCAGAGCATTGATCTTAAACTAGTATCCTTTTGTGATAGTTTGAATGTAATTAGCCCCATGATCACAGGGAGTGGCACTATTAGGAGATGTGGCTTTGTTGGAGTAGGTATGGCCTTATTAGAGGAAGTGTGTCATTTTTGGGGTGGGCTTTAAGATCTCAAGATAACTCCCAGTGAGATGCACCATTTCCTGTTGCCTAGAAGATGTAGGATTCCAAGCTATTTCTCCAGCCCCATGTCTGGCGCCTGAATGCCACCATGCTCCCTACCACGATGATAATAGACAGAACTTATGAACTGTAAGCCCTCATCTCAATTAAATGTTTTCCTTTATAAGAGTTGTCATGGTCATGGTGTCTCTTCACAGCAGTAGAAACCCTAACGAAGACACCTTACAACTAACACAGCCATTCCCTCACTTGGCATCAGCTCTGCACCTGGGGGAGGCTATTAAATAATAAGCAGCCTCTACAATCCATCAGGCAATCTTTTCAGCTTCTCAGAGATTTCTCAAACTTTTCTCTGGAAGGCAGACTTCCAGGGTTGGTTTGCTTATTTCTGTCTGCAGAATCCAGCCACATTTCCCACTGTCTTCCAGTCTGCTGCTGCTGAAGAAACCATGTTTGTCAGGGAGAAGGGGCACGAATTTCTGTGAGAAACAAATGGGTTCTCGTGGATAGATTTAGAAGTACTAGGATCAGCTACTGGAAGTCTTCCGTTGCTTCTTTGCCTCTTGCTGTTTATACTATTATGGTATAAACATGGATATCGCAGTTATGGTTGCTTGTTTCAGTTCCTCTTCATGGCCCCTGGATGGGCAATGAATCATCCATATAGCTCTTTGACTTGTTTCCTCAAGTTGGTTTCCATCGGTGTTTGTTTGAAATCATATAAACATGACTTTGGCTTGATTGTAGCTGTTTGGTTAATGTTAAATTCCATGGTTATTTTGTTTTGTGATCAAGACAATCTAAGCTTTGGTTATGCCAATGATAGAGGTCAAAGGCCAACATTCTTCAGTAGATCTGAATATAAAAATCATGTCAAAAATTAATGAAAAATTAAGAGTACATTGAGTTAGTGCCTTGTTTTGGCAACAATAATCCTTCTCAGAGTTGAAGACTTTGTGAAGGAAACAATGGATTCATTTTTTTAATTAATTTTTTTCTGATTTATTTTATTTTGTATTGTTTTGCCTGCTTGTATGGATATGCACCAGGTGCATACCTGGTGCTACAGAGGACAGAAGAAAATTTCTGGAACTGGAGTTATAGATGGTTGTAAAACACCATGTGGGGTGATGGGTCCTCTGAAACAGCATCAGGTGCTCTTAACTACTGAGCCATCTCTCAGACCCTCATTCATTTCTCCATAGCATTTACTACCAGGCTACTTAAAAAAACTCCCAAAATTTATTTATTTATTTTATTTATATGGGTGTTTTGTCTGCATGCATATCTGTGAACTGTGTATTTTGTGTTCAGAGGCCAGAAGAAGGTATCAGATGCCCCTAGACCAGTGGTTCTCAACCTGTGGGTAGTGACCTCTTTAGGGATTGAGTGACCCTTTTACAGAAGTCACCTAAGACTGTTGGAAAACACAGATATTTACATCCTGTTGCATAACAGTAGAAAAATCATAATTAGGAAGTAGCAACAAAAATCATTTTATGGTCAGGGTGACCACAACATGAGGAACTGTATTAAATGGTCACAGAATTAGGAAGGTTGAGAACTACTGCCCTAGATTCAAGATGGTTGTTAGTTACTACATGGATGATGGGAAACAAACCTGAGTCCTCTGTAAAGTAGGCAGTGCTCTTAGCCCTTGAGCATCTCTCTAGCTCTATTCCCAGACTTCCTTAAGCTAGAGTCAAGTTAACTTCCCTCTGTCCTTTTTAGACTCCCATGAGACAGATTCCATATACCTGAAACCATGAAGTCTTTCTACTTGGTTATACTTGGAAATTGGAGCCTCCTTAATGAGTCTAAAGTCATGTCAAATGAAACAAACCTGTGGCTTACCTATTTCATCAACAGTGAAACACTTTTGGTCCAACAAGTCACCATTTGTAGTTAGTTTGATACAGTAGGGTATCCAAATGGAGGTATACGATGAGTTGAAGTAACAGCTGTTTTCTCCAGCAGAGACATAGTCAGGGCACTCTTTCCATTCCTGGTTCCATTCATGAGCAATTCTGAAATGGAGGGTAAAAAAGGATTAATCATTCCCCAAATTATGCCATAGCTTTAGTCAAAGTGAGGTATCTGGCAGCCAGATTCAGTAAGCTAAGACACAAATATCTTATGACCTAAAAGACACTTAAGAAAGTGCTCAACATCCTTAGCCATTGGGGAAATGCAAATCAAAACAACTCTGAGATACCATCTTACACCAGCCAGAATTGCTTAAATAAAAAACACCAATGACAGTCTATGTTGGAGAGGATGTGGAGAAAAAAGAACACTCCTCCATTGCTGGTGGGATTGCAAACTTGTAAGACCACTTTGGAAATCAGTATGGCTGTTTCTCAGGAAAATGGGAATCAGTCTACCTCAAGATCCAGCAGTTCCTCTCTTGGGCATATACCCAAAGAATGAATATTTATACAACAAGGACATATGCTCAACTATGTTCACAGCAGCATTGTTTGTAATAGACAGGACCTGGAAGCAACCTAGATGCCCCCTCAACTGAAGAAGGGATAGAGAAAATGTGCTACATTTACATAATGGAAATACTACTCAGGGGAAAAAAGCAATAGAATCTTGAAATTTGCAGGCAAATGGATGAAACTAGAAGAAACCATCCTGAGTGAGGTAACCCAGTCACTAAAAGGCAAACATGGTATGTATTCACTCTTATATGAATTTTAGACATAGAGAAAAGGATTACCAGCCTACAATCCACATCACCAAAGGAACTAGGAAACAAGGAGGACTCTACAAGAAGATTGCATGGATCCTGGAGAAGGGGAAGGGGACAGGATCTCCTGAGCTAATTGGGAGCATGAGGGTAGGGGAGAGGGAGCTGGGAGAGTGAGATGGGGAGAAGAGGAGGGGAGAGGAGGAAATTAGGGAGCAGGAAGGTTGAGTTGGAGGAAGAATAGGGGAGAGCAGGATGAGAGATGCCATAACAGAGGGAGCCATTATAGATCCGAGGAGAGATCTGGCACTAGGGAGATTTCTAAAGATCTACAAGGATGACACCAACTGACAATCTAAGCGTAGTGGAGAGGCTCCCCTAAATGCCCTTCCCCTATAATGAGACTGATGAATACCTTTTATGCCATCCTAGAGCCTTCATCCAGTGGCTGATGGAAGCAGAGGTAGACCCCACAGCTAAACACTGAACTGAACTCGGGAACTCAGTTGCAGAGAGGGAGGAGTGAAGAGCAGAGAGGTCAAGACCGGGCTGGTGAGGCCCACAGAATTAGCTGACCTGAACAAGGGGTAGCGCATGAACCCCAGGCTGATGTCTGGGAGGCCAGCATGGGACTGATACAGACCCCTGAATGTCAATGAGGAGGCCTTGGCAATGAGGAGGGATGTTCTCTCAGCCTGGACACATGAGGAAGGGCCTAGGCCCTGCCTAGGATGATATGACAGACTTGGGGATTCCCCCATGGAGGTCCTTACCCTCCCTGGGGAGTAGGGGTTGGGGTATTGTGGGGAGTGTGGGAGGATGGGAGGGAGAGGGAACAGGGATTGACATGTAAAGCAGGCTTGTTTCTAATTTGAACTAATAAAAATAATATCTTGGGAAAAATTTAACATTTCAGCAGTACCATTTCCAAGAAACACCACATCTATAGACAGTAGTATTACTAGTGTCTGAATATTGTCAGGAGCCTATATGGTACTAAAATAAAAACATCTGTTTATTGAGTGTATATGTTGGAGGTTCACAGCTGGTGGATCCAATCATTCCTCAGTGACCCCATCAATGGACTTATCATTGACGGAGTCATGATTTGATGGCATTGTTGGGAGTGGTAGAAAACAGAAGGTGGGAGGAAGCAGGGCACTGGGGTGTGACTTTGCACAGCTTCTTGCTAGTCCCTCCACCTGTCTGTCTTCTTCCTTTATAGCATGAGCCAAGTAGCCTTTTCTATTGTCACCATCATTTTCTGTCTTCTCTGGGCCCATAGCAGCATATTTGGGGGACCATGGACTGAACTCTCTGAATCCATGGGGCAAAGCAAACCCGTCCTCCTTCAAATTGTTTCTCTCATGTGTTTGCCACACAGGTGGGGTAATTTGTTCTCTCTTCGTTTTATTCACTGGCCTGTCTGAGTTGAGAAGAGGGTTTACAGGGGAAGAGGACACATTCCATGGAGCCTTTGATTAAGAATAGAGGTTAAATCAGGGGCTGATGCTTCAGTTGCTAAAGTGCTTGCTGTGCAAACACACAGAGACCTGAACTGTATCCCAAGAACCCAGGAAAATGTTGTGTGAGAAGGAGAGCGCATGGAATCCCAGTGCTGGGGAGGCAGAGACAGGAACATCTATCTGGCTTGCTTGGCCAGCTAGTCTAGCCAAGTAGGCAAGGCTTGAGATTCGGTGTGGGACTCTGTCTTAAAAATTAAGAGGAGGCAAGCAACTGAAGAAGATACCTGACATCAACTTCTGCCCTCTACCCCCCACACATATATACATATATTTGTGTACAAACATGCACAGATAAGAACATTTACACACACACACACACACACACACACACACACACACACTCATAGGAGTGACTATGCAAGCACAGGTGCTGGGGCTGGCCAACTAGATGTGACTGTTTGAGACTTTCCCACTGTAGGGTGGTGCTGGCAGCCATGGGCAATGAGAACATAGGCTTGGGGGAAGGCACATCCTGGAAGAAAGGAATGAAAACTCCTGAAGACACATTTACATTTCCTTCTTAACAGCTGCTTCTCAGGCTCATTTGGCACTAGGGATTTACATAGAACCACTGAGACAGCTGCTCATCAGCTGTTTGAACACACTTGGAATTAACACGGTAGAGAATCTGAGATAGTAAACTATTGCGCAATTTCTGATTGAGATCTTAAAAGCTATGTCTGTAGATGAAAAAGAGCTTCATCTAGTCTAAGAAAAGTAAGTAGAAAAAAGGCAAAAGGAAGGAGAAAGCATCTTTCTGTATGTGCAGACATTATGTTTGGTGTGACAGCAAAAGAGGAAGGATAGGTGACTCCCTGAGTGGTTGAATTTTTGTTTAATCTTGACATTCAAACTAAGAGTGAATTAAAGAGTTTTACCAAAATTGCCCAGAAAGTTAGGCATTCATATAAAATCAGAGAAGATAACAAGTGTATTAATATTATGTAACCCATGCTGTCAATTTAAAAAAAAGTGAGTCTCAGGATGGTGCAAAGCTTCAGGACAGCCGGTGTTCAGGAGGTCTGCATTTATTGTCAGGAGCCACCTGGCTCTGTCGTGCGTTTCTGGACTTTGGCAGTGTAAGTAGTCTTGTTCTGAGGAATGAATGTGTAAAACCCTGCTGAGGCGTTCTTAATCCATTAGCTCCATGGGACACAGCACTTACAAGAGTTAATCTGGATGTGAAGCATGGTGGATGAGTAGCTAGTTCAAAACACAACGCCCAATCTCAGGTCCCCTCCCCTGCTTCTCTCTTTTGTTCTTCGAGACAGGGTTTTTCTTTGTAGCCCCAGCAGTCCCAGAAATTGCTTTGTACACCAGGCTGGCCTTGAACTGAGAGATCTGCCTCCTGAGTGCTGGTATTAAAGGCGTGCTGCCACACCTGTCTAAAGTGTATATCTTAAGCTCATAAATCTAAAAGCCAAATAACCTCATGGCACATGAAGTCATCTGTCTTCCCTGTGTTCTATACATGACATAGGATGATCTAAGGAAGCTACTTTACTCTTCTTAGTCATCGAGGTGAAGTTCCTAGGTTTGCCCCAGACTACCCTGTGACATGAATGAGGACCATAGGAGGTTTCATTACAAATAAAAACAGAGAGTGAAAGCAGCATTTTCTCCCCAAAGGTTTGGATTGGAGTGAAAATAAAGAGTGGAAAAGTCATAAAAATAAAACCAGATCCCGGGCCCACAAACTTTAAATAATTCTAACTAAGAGATGCCAGCTGTTAACTACCATGACCAGTTCCTTCTACCAAGAGCCACTGCATCCCACAGGACATACATCCCACCTCTCTCTGGCATAATAAACTTTGGGAGGGACAAATCCAGCCAACCCCCCTCAGACAAAGGAGCCAGATTAGTCATCACCCTACACCCCAGTGAATTGGGTCTTGGATCCTTTAGGAGGAAATGTGATAATACAAAAAAAATGAATTAAAATAAGTGACAAAAAGATTAAAACAACAAGGTTGATATTGACCAGCTCCAACGGGCTCCCATGAGGTCTTCACAAAGCTCTGCCACACTTGTCAGTGCGGCTTTCTGCCATGCCTCTGATTTGCATTCATGGTGAGTCCCCTTCAGTGCAGAGGCTGGACTTGGCAGTATCTCCATCACAGGGCATCAGACTCTGCTCTGAATCAGCGCTTTCATAAGCTGGGCCATCTCTTCTGCCAGCTTACCTGGCTAGGATCGGGTCCAAGCAGAACACACTAGTGCCTGTGCTCTCCAGCGTGCTTAGACTCTTGTATGCTTTGGATTCCAAGAACAACCCAGTGAACTGAATGTGGTGTTTTTTTTCCCCCTGCCTCCACAGACTGTAGTGTTGTGTGTCAGGGATGACAGGCACAATTCTATAGTTTCAGAAGTTGCTTAGGAACAAACGCTCAGAAACAATAGCATGAGTTGGAAGTCCCTCTGTGCTTTGTCTCTGGGTAAGTGGATGCTGAGAGTCCATGGGTCGGTACAGCCTCATCCTGATCTCCTAACCCTTGGTTGTACCCTTCTGAGATAAACAGGGCTGAGGGTTTATGTGGCCTGGCTAGTATGTTCAATGTATTTATATTTTTTTTCAGGGAAAACACAAACTCCTGATTTGGGGAGTTTGGGTTGGCACTTGGTCATGAGTTTGTATCTATGGTATTTATGGAGGTGTGTATGTTTTTCTCCTGAGATTCTAGGTTCCAGTAGGGCTAAAACAAGGATGTTCTCCTGAATATGTCTGAGAGTCCCTAATTCATCCCTATGGCCACCTCCTCCTGTCTATTCTATAGAAAACAAATGGGGACTTTTAAAGCATACTTTTTCAAAACACAAAGAAAGACTCAGTGTTCTTCCCTGGCCTACAAGCATTGGTACAGTCTCTGAGTAGCACTGTGACACCTTCCCATGTCATCTTTCCAAGTTTAAAGTCTCATGCCTCTGTGCAGGCTCTTCTGATTCTCAAACATGCCAACATGGCCCCAGGGCATCACACTTGAAATTTTCATTGCCTCCATAGTCTTTCCCTCATATGTGTACACAGTTTCCCTCACTCCATTTCTTTCCCCAATTTAATATGCTGCATTAGAGAGGCCCCAGAGACCTCCTCAGCTCCAGCATCACCCAAGCCTCTGAGCCCAATCACACACACACACACACACACACACACACACACACACACACAGGCATGCCCACACACTCATAATGTGAATCACCCTATCCCACTCTCTACCCAATCCACACTGACAAATCAATGGAGAAAAGTCAGAAGGGTGTGAAGCCTTCACCTTCTAGCATAGAATAGCTGTATAGATCCTGGGATCTTTAAGTCATGATAATCTCCTTCTGTCCAGTAACATGAAAATGTCTCCAGTTCAGGTGAACGGCACTTGGTGAATTGAGGCTTCCCAGAAGAACCTGCAGAATAAGGAGACAAGGCATACATGGAATCAGAAGGGTCATGTGACATTCCTATGAAACATACATATGAAGTATGTAAAGAAGGAACTACTGGGATAAAGCCATCCTATTGCCTATCTAGGAAGTGATACTACTATTTGGAAAAGCTGTTTTTCTGACTCATCATCTCAGCATCTATTGCTGGCTACTGTCAGTCATCAATTCTGAAGTCAACTATTTGTGCCTTCATTCCCAGCGTTATTTCTTAGGGCCTGTTTTTAGATCCAGCACTAGAGAAAGGGATGTGGGGACAGGCAGTTCATTTGGAAGGCATACCTAGGACAAGACATGAGATAATGGGCAGAGAACGGAAAGGTCCTAAGGAATAATGCTTAAGCCTAAAGGTGGTATTATCAAATCCCTGAAAAGAATGCTGCAACTGACAAAAGTTCAAACTTTGTCTCCAGATGAAGATGTCCTACATTCGGAAGAAACTTTAGCATTAACACTGGTTGTACTCAAAGATCTTGAAATAGCACACCCATTTCTTCTTTGGGATCTCCCCTCCTCCTTTCCCTCCCCCCCTCTCTGTGTGTGTGTAGATCAGAGGTTGATGACTGATTTTTCTCTATGGCTCTTATCTCATGTTTTAGACAGGGTCTCTCACTAATTTGGAGTTTGACATTCAGGCAGGCTGACTGGCCAGAAAGGCCTAGCAATCAGCTTGTCTGCCACCCCAGCACCAGGGTTAAAGATAGGTACCACATGCCCGACTTTTATGTGGGTGCTGGGGATTCAGACTCAGGTCCTCATACCTCATACTTTAACCACTTGACCATCTTCTCAGACCATTTTAAAAATGAGGATCCCAAGATATGAACTTTGGAGAGAGATGGGTGATAAGTTGAAGCAGGGACAGGAGGAGGTGGCCATAGGGATGAACTGGGGATGGATATCCCCAAGACATATTATATATGTCCATGGAATTTTAAAAAGAGTAAAATACAAACAAAAGATGGGGATTCGCATTTCGAGTTACATCTTTTTTTTTAGCCATTATTTCTAGTTTCAGTGTATTTCTTATTACATCACAATAGCACTTCACATACATACTTCATTTAGTAGTGACTACAGATTGTCTTTTTGCTCTCTGAAAAAAAATTCCAAGGTGGGGGGGAATGACAAGTTTAGACATCCTCTTAATTCAAGTCTCAGAAATAAGTAATCTGGAAACCTCAATTTTTCCACACTGGGACCAACTGAGATGTTTTAAAAATATTCCTTTGCTTACTTCTAGAGATTTGAATTTCTTTGGGGTACAGTGTAGGAAATGTGATTTATGAAAGTTCTTTATGACTTGCAATGTATTCCAGTTTGAGAACCACAACTTCAGATAAACTTATAAAATGAGATCCCCAAATGTGGCTTCTGCATAGTTTTATTCACTGGACTCTTCCAGCAGAGCTGTATTCATTCACGATGGTATTTTCATCTCAGGAATGCTTCCTAGAACAATGCCTCATGAAAACTGAGAGTAGCAAAGTTACTTAAAATCTTTGTGCAAAACTGTGTTTCTAAATGATGCTTGTGTTTGAATACCCAGAGTATACACCAGCAAAAAAAATCAAGAAGTTATAGTGCTATTTCTATTAAGTTTATTTAGAAACCTTAGAGAGAGTTGCATTAAAGTTTGTAAAAGTGGATGAAGTTTGATATTGTATCCAAAGCTGGAGAAACAATGCTGCTTGCAACATGTCACATCAACACTACCATGATTGATTTGCAGGTCAGATGGACCTGCACAGCTTAAGTGAACTTCCTCCACAACTGCCTGCTGGCTCTCCTCTTGGAGGAAGATGATCTCCCAGACAGTCCACAGAGGGAGCATAGTGAGCAGCTGTTATATTAAAGGATTAATTTCCAAAGATGCTTTTCTAAACTTGACTTACAACACAGCAGAAACAAATCCCTAATGAAACAACAACACTTTCTTAAAGTCTGCTTGGGGTATGGGGCTTAGGGAGAAGGAAAATGAGGATCTAAAGTGAGAAGGGAAGGTAGCAGGGAAAGAAGTCTTTGATGAGAAAGGGTGGTTTTTTTCCTCTGAGAAATAAAACATCATATCATGTCTTGAAAACTGTTTGCTTTCAACAGTCTAACACTTGTTACCTCTCAACACATGATAGAAGATTGAGCTATCTTTCATGGGGTGGCAACTTGAAGGGAAAGTCTTTCTCCTTGACTGTAGTAATTTTAACCAGTTGAAAACTTTCTCTTGATTTAGGGTGGCAGCAAACAAACAATAAGGAAAGTAAGAAAAATAAGCAAAACAAATAACATGGCTATGGGTTGTTCTCCATCAACTGATTGCTAGGCCCTTTTGTTGAAGACAACTCTTTCATATCTTATTGAACATTGAGATGTTGAACTGGTGCCCAACTAGAGCCTTTACCCTACTGAACAGTGTTTATGTTGCTAGAAGATACTCTGTACTCTACCAGAGAAGGAAAGTAAACAACAATCTACAAATGTTTCAATATACAATGGTGATTTGCCTCCATGACACCTATGTACTTTATACCTTAAAAATGGTACAAATGTTGTGGAAGTAACCAACCCATATGTACTTAGATCCAAGGCCCACTCTATGAGATGGAACTCATGTTTACAGTGTATGGGTGGAATAGGTGGCCATGACTGGGTTTAGATAAGTTATGGACCTAGGAGAACATTAAATATTATTGTTCTGTTAAAGGAGTATTGCTATAAAATGACTCCTAATGATGTTCTTCTATACTCACAGATGAGTATCTCACTCAACCATCATCAGAGAAGCTTCTCCCTGCACTAGGTAGGAACTAATACAAAAACCCACAACCGGAAAATGTGTAGAGAGTGAGATGCTTTGGGATACTCAGTTCTAAATAGGATGCCTTCATCAAATCCTTACCCTCAGGGCTTAGATAGCTATGCAGACAGGGAGGGAGAAAGATTGTAAGAGCCAGAGGGGATGGATGATTTGTAAGGAAATAGTGTCTTAAATTGATACAACAGGATTAATGCACATATGAACTCACAGAGACTATGGAAGCATGTACAAAGCCTGTACAGATCTAAGCCAGATGGGGTCCCAGCGCTGAGAGGGAAAAGTGGACACAAACTCCCATCCCTAACCAAGAAACGATTTCCAGTTTACAACTGCTTGCAGAGGAAAAAATTGTTTTCTTCAATGGAGTTTCACCAAGTACACAAACCATACTTAAAGAAGGCTCCATGTCCAGCAATAGATGGCAAACCCCAAATTAACTCAATGGTTTTTTTTGGAGAACTTTTCATCTTATATTGCTTTGTTTGGGTATTTCCCCCCCCCTTGCCAGTCTTTTGCCTATATATTTTGTTTCCAAAGTTGTGTGTTTTTTTGGGGGGGGCTGGTGGCATTGCATATATGTGTACACGTGTGTTTCTCATGTTTTATTTTTTAACATTCTGTTATTGTTAGATTATTTTTTTATTTACTGTTTGTTTCCTAAAGAGAGACAGAAGGGAGGCATGGAATTGAATGGTGGGGAGGATCTGGGAGGAGATGAGAGAGGCGAAACTGTGATAAGAATATGTTGTTTGAAAAAACATTTTCAATGAAATATAACATTCCTTAACATGATAAAGACAAAAAATCAACAAATAAAACTTGTACAAAGACATAATTCGAAAAAACGGTTTTAGGGATGGCACTCAGCCTTGCCTAATATGTGTGAGGCCCTGAAATAGATTCTTAGCACCACAAAAAGAAATTATGAATGTTCTTCAAACATGACTTCTGTCCTAAATGCTGAAAGAAATTATAAGACCAAATCAGTGCGTGTGGTAATAAAGAATGAAAAGGGAGGAGGGAAACACTAAAATCATAAAGCCATACCAGATCAAATGGCTTCGGGTTCATTATGGCAGACTTGGGCTCTGACAAGGATCCTGTATATGCAGGCAGTCAATCTCCCTGTTCTTCAGAAGGAATGGTTACTACTGAATGAAAGCCAAAGTAAGGAAATCCTGCCAGCTGAAATGGTTTCATATGTTGTGAGGATTGCATAAGCACACAGGTCGAGGCCAAGTGTGGTGAAATTGTAATGTTCTGTCCACAAGTAATAAACAAGAGATGGTGGTTCCAGCAGAGAGGTCTTCCACCTCCTTGTCTGTGCTTCACGGGGTTTGGATGACTGATTAGCATCTATTAGCATAGCAGCTATGCATTTTGCCTTTATATTGCTTCAGACAGTATTAAAGACTAGAATACACATGATCCTTAAAGCTTTGATGAGTGAATGCTTGGGCGGTATAACAACATGACGACAGAAAGAAGTTACTGCATTCAGTGTCACTTTGTTACAAGGTCCTCATTCAGCTTAGTAGTGGAGTTATTTCAGTGGGGAGGTGACAACGCAATAGTCATTAAGTGTTCTTGAAGGTCATATGATAACAACTGCCCTGCACAAGAAGAAGGTGCTATTATCCTCACCACTTTATAGAAACTGAGATACAGACAAGTAAAATAGTAGTACAAAGGTCACTTCGCTAGTGGCACAGCCCTGAAAGTCACCAAGCAGTTATGTCTCAAAGTCTTTATTACAACTGTGGCTTTCATAGTTTTAAATAGTGACCTTTAGGAAGAAGATTTTTTACGTAACTTTCCCAGGTGTTATGTATTTATGTATGTTTTCTATATGTACATGTATATACAACGTCTCACAACTATGATTCTCCCTACAGTTAATAAATTCTGACTGTATATAGTTATATAACACATATTTATTTATAACATATTTATATGCACACTGTATACATAAGTACAATGCTGCTTGCAACCATGTAAGTTGATTTACTAGTGGCTCACCATGTTCACTTGAAGAAACAATACTTCTGAAACTAATCTTCCTTCTATGAAAGTTGAAAATTAATTTTGGTTTGTAATTTGTTCAAAACAAGGCAAGAACATTTCCTTTGCTGGCACATGACTAAGACCT